ATATTATCATTAATTATGTAGTTTAAGAGCTTTTTGAAGTCTATTTTTATTGTAAAATTTTCTTTATTTTATTGGAAATCTTACTAAAGATTTTTTTGTATTATTAATTTTAGTTCCATTATTTATTTCCTAGTCTTATTACCCTGAACTAACTTCCGTTACAAAATTTAATATATAAGACTAGTCAAACCAAAACGAATGAATCAAAACACGGGGAGTTTACCAGTACTCCCTTAAAAGTTCCACTCTCCACGTTCTGGACTTCAGTATCAGAGTCTCGTTACAAAATGCAATTTATAAGACCCGTTAAAACAAAACGAAGGAGCCCAAATTCGAGATGTTTAGTAGTAACTACTAAAGGGTTGCATTATCCATTCTTTGGCTCCGTCATCAGATCCTTGATACCAATGCAATATATGCGACTTATCAAAAGGAATCAAATGGTCTTAAACCCGACGGTTTACTAGTAGACATTAAAACCACAAATTGCACTATTATTCTCTAACTTGTAACCATTATGGAGTGCTTTAGCTTCATGATCAGCTCAGCAGCATAAGGGGATGGCTCCCAGATATTAAGGCTTGGATAACTAAAAAAAGAGCTCAATGCAGTGTATATATATATATACACCTATATTTGAGAGTATCCCTCGATATCCCTAGGATCCTATCATCAAATCTTGATGATGAAATGACACTTCCCCGCGATAGTTCCTTTTCGAACAAAAAATAATTATCGAAATCGGTTCAAAATTTACTAAAACATGGCATAACATACACATAAAAAAATACAGACGAATTGAGAGCCTCCTCCTTTTTTGAAATCCGTCAAAAAAGTGCGACAAACTTTTCTTCTGCATATAAATGTGTCAAAATTACTTGTTTTTGCTAACGACTTCTTTTTCAATTTATTGAGAAAGAACTAATAACCCAATGTAGGTTGCAGATTATGTTTGAATTAAATGCGCTACATCTACTAATCCCTAAATGCGCCCGTAGCCCCTGTCGCGTGGACATACAATTGAATTCCTTCATCTTTTATATCGATAGATCACGCAGTTAACGTTATTCGCGATCTCGGTCTCGCCCTCGATTCCGATCCTGATTCCATCGTTGATTCCGAAACAGAACCCTATGGCGCAAAAACGCCGCCTAAACGTGTTTTGCACGCATCCGGATGAACCCATCGATGCGTAATCGCGCACAGTGCTTTCTTGCTAACATTATGCGTGGACGCAGAATGCGTGCGCTACGAGTGAGCATCCTTATCAGGTTGCCGAGGTTCGCTCATCAGACTCATGAATCCAGACCACTAATACGGGGCCTACCCTCGCCGTCTCCGTTGCCCCTGACGACGACGACCCTGTTTCTTTGAAGCGCCCTTAGGCAGTCTCTTCAAAACTTTCTGCGACTTGAGTGAAACGCTTACCGCGTAACGTATCCGGTTACGCTGCGAAAGTCTTCGATCTAACAAGAAAGTTTAAGGACGCGCTTTAGTCAGCAGAAATCTGGTATTCTCACCAACCAATATTTATTCACCATCTTTCAGAAAAATAATCGATTGAATTTGCGGGTAAAAGCTAATGTCATAAGGAAATGAATCATGTAAATGCAACTAGTACTTCTCGCGTTATAAGCGCTCAAACGAACAAACAGAGAGAAAGAGAGACATTGTGATTGAGATATATTAATAAACTAACTTCTGCCCGCGGCTCCGCCCGCGCAGACAAAATGAACTACTTCATATATATCGACCAATTAAGACAATAAATCATGATCCTAATCGCTATCCCGTTCTCGATCCCGATCTCGGTCTTGTACGCGGTACCAATTTTGATCACTGTCGATTCCGGACCCGGTCTTGATTTAAGTAGACCCCAATTCTGTTCCCGCTCTGAATTCTGATATCTTCTTATTCCGATTCAGGTCACGGTCTTAGTCTTACGGTCGATTACGATCTTGCTCTCGTTTTCGATTTCTAAATCTACTGGTCTCGACTCTAGATTCTGTTCCTCGTCCCGTTTGTAATTTTAATTACATCATCGCTCACAGTTTCAATTTAGACGAAACCGGGGTAAATTCTAGTATCATAATAAAATTTATGTTGTATTAATTGAGAATAGTGTTCTTTTTTTATAAGTGAAAGCATTTGTATAATCTGTAACAACACAAATATTTAGATGAAACCATTGCGAAATGTTAATAGTCTGAGGAATTTCTTATCAATGAAGTTATTCTTGGCTTCGGTTTAATAGTTCATTTCGATAGTAAAAATACACACATAACGTCAGGTACAAATTCTAGTTTCCTTTTTCAAAAATCTTTCCATTCGTGATTGCAACATATTGCCAGTTTTAGGCGCCTCTTTCACAATTAATTCAATTACTTTTTCACCCAAACACCTCTTTTCAAAGTCGTACCTCTCTTCATAAAAAGTTTCACACAAAATGCAACCCCCCCCCCTTAACTCCGAAAAAAAAATTGAATCACCCAAAACAAATGGCTACTAAATAAATATAAGAATAATGTGTGATCTTATGTTGGTACTATACGATGTGTGGAAATAATATAGAGCCATTATTTTTACAATTACAGGTTGAGATTGTACATAAAGTTTCATCAAGATCGATCAAATCGTTCTTTTAAGTTACAAAATAACACGTACAGACAAACATACAGACTATCACCTATCATGTGTGCAAACACATATTCTTGAATTATAAAACGACATACAAACAGACAGATAAATGCAAATTTTAAAAATGTTAGATATGGGGTCAGTTAGTTATAAGACGAATATCTGTCACGAAGGTTTCTAACTAAATTTGAGATTGAATATATTTTGGTTTATTGGGTGGATTTCGACGAAATAAACATAAAATTTTTCATGACTGAATCTTCACACTTATAGAAATTAGATTTTGAATGAAATAAGTGTGTTTATGCATGTACAAAACAATGAACAAATTGGCAGACAAACAATTAAAAAATGTATTACTATGTGCTATTCATTATGTTTTACAGTTATTTTGACTTGTACGCATTTCTATAAAGGAAGGTAATTTAAAAAAACTGATAAAAAAATCGGGGGATACAGTTTGATGCTGCAGCTAGGTATCTATCGTCTAAATCCAAAATTTAATTACACCACTCTATAGCTAAAGGATCAAAGAATTCGTTACGTTTAGTGAAGACTGTGAAGCATCACGCGCAGCGAAGGCGGAAGAGCCGATGTATTGAAGTCGTTTCATTGCGTCACAAAATTTCTTTTTAGTATAAATTTTGACTGGCAGAAGTTAAGATATTCGTTTGAATTGAAATCGACAGCCCTTGTCTAAATCTATCGATTGCGTATATAAAATATTCGTGCGAAAAAGTTATAGAAAAAAATATATAGACATCGATTGTGTGCGAACTCCGATATTGTTAAAGACACATTTAGCAGCAGCTAGTGCACATTTCATTACTACGTTTATAACTACAGGAAATACGAAGCACTTCTTAGTATTCAAAAATAATTATATATGTAATTCGCTCAAAGGAAATATTATCCGTTACGTACACGTACTCACGTAAAATACACGGCCTTGTCCGCGACACAGCCAAACTCCGATTTTTTTGTAAAAACTAATGTACTGATACAGAAAGTCTACTCTTCTAGGCTAGATTTTTTTATTTAGCAGATTATTATGAATTACGAAAAGTTTTTAACTAAAATAAACATATAGTCAAATATATTTTTAATGTTTATATTTGAATAATATTTAACAGAGCTTTGTTCATTAATATATTGATGTATTATTCATCTATATCACATTTTTTCCATCATTTGTTAATTGGCTAACTCTTCTCTATGGATATTACAAAAAAATCACAATTTATATCTGTTTGTGCGCTAATTCTTTTAAAGCACAGAATAGGTTTTGATGCGGCTTATGCAAGCACAGCCGCACGCAAACAAACATGCATACAAACACAAGTTATCGACGCTTCGAAATTATTTAGTCTCTGTGACCAACAGACAGACATCGAAGTGACTCTAAAATTCTGATCTTGTAATCTGGACACGGAATACCAAAACCGTATCTTATAACCGTTGATTATGAAACACTTGTATCGAAAGCCGGATATGCATACGTCGTAATCGTGCGATAATTATTTTGTTCCGTAATCGGTTTTTACAATGTATCCAGGTAACTTTTAAAATGATAGCAATTTTTTAATTTACGTGTTTATAGATCTATTCTTTCATATCAGTAAATTCATTTTAAACAGGGCTAGTTTTAAAATGTCCATCTACGTTTTGAGGCACATAATTATTAACAATTTTCTTTATTGGAAACGTTCAATTACCTGAGAACAGTAGATAACAAGATAGAATCAAGTAGTCACAATACACGTCGCGTCACGCAGGCATACCTTTCAAAATTAATTTGAAATCGCTAAAATAATGCGTCCACTGCAGTGCTAAATAGCGTAAGATTACAATACAAAATTATACGATGTCATTAGGTCAAGAGCAATGTTACGTCTCAGTATACAGACATATAACAAGGCCGAGTGATTTCTGACTTATTCTATCTAGCACTATAATGCAAGCGTTATTTACATATATGCATTTGTACGTTGTCGATGTACCGCTGACAGCATGAAGATTATTCTTTATTTATTTATATGGTACAATCCAGTAAAAAGTCATCCACTTGATTGATTATTTGAGGAAGAGTTTGCATTAGACGACTGACAGATGACTCAGTGAAGCAAGAAAGCAATCCAAAGACTATATATACCACGTGTTGGTCTGCGGTCTCTGCCTACATTTTTGGGAATAGGCTTTAGTTTTTATAAATGAATAAATTAGTAACAATTTCGGAACGAACATTCTTATCGCACGATACACTACAGACGCTTGGCGAATGAAAGCTAGATCGAAAAAAGCGGCCGACACGATATTTTTGCTTTAGGTGTAGCTTTTCGTGGTCGTTTATGTTGTCAATCGTCAACGTCCATACCACGTTGATTGCACCGGTTCTCGTCCGATGACCGAAGTTAGGCACTGTCAGTTACGGTTAATACTTGGATGGGTGACCGCCTGGGAACACCATGTAATGTGGGCTTTTTGCAGTTATATTTCTTTTTATAATAAATAATTAATACAATACATTTCATAAAATCATATACAAGCCGTGTTTGTACATTAAATATTTTTTCCAAAAAAACAATTTGTACACGTTGTACTATTTTACTGAGGCCTAAAAAAAATGTTTTTAGATTATTTGTCTATTTGTCTGAGCGTTTATGCACTCTAATCTCAGAAACAGTTTAACCGATTTGAATGCGGTTTTTATTTGTGTATTGTAGCAAGCTTCCCGTATTCTTTTATGTTTATTTCATGACAATCGGTTTACAAACAAAAAAGTAATGTAAATCTTCTATCTAAGTGTATTATTTCGATAAAAAAAATACATTTTTTTCTGTGTGCTATTACCATTGATATATTTATTGATAAGCAATCAATGGTATTTACCGACGAGCTTACATACATTTATTTTTTACGACTGCTAGTATTAAAATTAAATTGTCGCCGTCTTGAAAAGCATATATCTATCTTCTAAGGATGATCCACGACATGCATTTTTGTATTTGAGATGACAGCCAGTTGTGGATGACAGGAACCGACTCCGCCCTTTAAAAAGCGAGGAATGTTTTATACAACGAGGCTTTTATAGAAATAAAATATGTTTTTTCAAGTTTGGAGACAAAAAACATACGTACATAGGTATACCTAAAATATCTAAAAGTATCTTTAAATTAAAAATATTTGGCTTAATATTGTTTATGTCATAATTAAAATACCTAAGTAAATTTCTACTTTATACATAAAACCTAAATAACAATTTCGTAGTCCACGCGAGCGAAGCCACGATCACAACTAGTTAATAATATAGTGTTTATTATAATCATTAAAAAAAATACATGTTTACAATTTTGCTACTAGGTCATTATTTATTTCTTTGTGTTATTCATTTAAGTGCTCTCAAATATTGTTAATTTTTTCATTGCGCCTAGCGATTACACGCCCGTTACTTAACGTAAAAGCTAGTTAAATATATACGTACTGAAATATGCTTACTGGAATGCTAGATGGCGTTGATGTCGCTAGATTTTCAAATTTTTTGACAATCATACCTGCCAAAATAAATTTTTTACCCTCCGTAAAAAATATTTTTTCTAATAAAAAGTATTCTCTGTTTTTGCTAATACCTTTGAGAATATGTGTACGAAATTTCATGATGTTCGGTTGAATAGTTTCTGCGTGAAAGCGTAACAAACAAACTCACATTCACATATATATATATATATATATATATATATATATATATATATACAAAGATAAAACGAACTTGGCTCCAACGAGTGTCTTACGCCACTTCTCGTTTCATTTTTTTTATACATTAGTATTGTATGTAGGATTGCTTTCATCGAGTTTTTCTCTTCATTATTTTAAACAATACGATGAGTTTAATATGCCTTACATTAAAGCACTTAACATTTAAAATTGATTGACCTCATTTTAAACCATAATGTAGATCGATAAAGAACAGTTTCTAGAGGTTTTTGGATGAAGAAAAACTTTATACCAAACTCTTTTCGTTTCGTTCGTCAAATGTTTCTCATAATAAATAGCGATATATGTTGTAGATATACATTACCATTTCAATACAATTATATTCAATACTTGGGATGAATACGAACCATACAGTATTTATCAGAGAGCTAAAAAAATTAACAAAATACCCATTTTTCTTACTTACGCTTACAATGCAATCGTAGTTAGTATTTTTAAAAACGGTATTTTTATAAACTAAATATGTCCATTTTTTTTAATAAATTTAACATGGAAATGTTAGATCGTCATGTTCAAGCTCTATTTCGCTTTATATATAAAATGTTATAAAGATTGCTTTATATCGAAAAATGCGAAGGGTTAATGATGTGAGATGAATCCACCGCCAGACATTTTTATTGTAAATATGAAGTTTCGAAGCGAATTGGGCATTAGTAGAATAATTAAAAGTCTTCACAAAAAAGTATCGTGACAACATCCTCAAAACCTTTTGACAAACTAATCTATATTTACTATATGTAGATATATATTAGATTGCAAACATTTTGTATAAACGTACATTTTGTCTTGGAATAGAATGCAGTATATTTTACATAGATTTTTTTTTGTTTATGTATTAGAAAAATTGTAATTGGAAACAGCGAACCATAATAGAATAAAACACAAATTGCTAAATAATTATTTACGCTCACGTAAGCAGGCCGGAACATATGTCTGGTGGACAATAAATTAATGATATATTACAAAGTCAAATTTTTTTATGTGACATTTAAAATTTGTATGATGACAATCGTGACAATATTGACTATTTTATATCGTGAAAAAAGTTCATGTCACGACTAACACATTATAATATTATAATTATTGTATTTTAATTATAATAGTTCAATGTATGTTTGAAATATGTAAAATATAATGATATTTTTTTATATAAAAGATAAATAGTTTTTTTAAATAACGTTTGTCATAAAAAAATTATATTACTGAAATCCCAATATATTTATTTCTGCAACTTTGTCACATTTTCAATCATTTATACTTGGATATTTTATCTAAATTAAATGCAAATTATAGTTAGTTTTGCCTAATTAATCAGCATTTTGGTTACGCATTTCTTCCATCTAAATGTAAAAGAATATTCAATAAGAATCACTTTCTACAACCTAATCTGTTTCCCGGACTTTTTGAAACAATAATAATAATAAATATTGATAAAAAAAATACTGTAAACGCGTTGATGTCTTTTGTACAGAGATTACATAACGCAAACTTTCAATATATTGCTGAAACATATGTTTTAAAGCATTCCATCTCACCCGCGCACTTATGATAATTTTTATGGAACTTTAATTCATACTAATTAAAATTACGTATACGTACTTAAATTCTCTATAAAAACGCGAATTATTTTTTCGAGATAAAAAAAGTACTAAAATTCGTAAAATGGCAACTCACAAATCACCGAACACAATAATTGTTAGTAATCATTGTATCTGATAACGAAAATGGCGGTCCGCGGGCAGACATTGTTACGTTAAATGTTCCACGGTCCACTACCTCAGAATGGACGCGTACGTACATCGATAGCTGCGGAGAATAAAGAGGAAAATGAAATGCCGCCGTGCGGTCGGGCTTCCAATCATAAAACTTTATGAGACATTGTTGTCATCCATAAATTAGTCTGCGAAAATACTATAAAATAACAATACACTTTTTGATGTGTATAATTATTTGACTTTTTAAAAATATACCGTCTTATTCAGAGTCGCTAGTCTAACTTTAAAACGTGCTAAAACAACTGTTTAACGCGAGTTTACAAAAAAAGTCTATTCAGAAATCTTGTTTAAATTATAAACACTGTTTACGTCTTGTTTAGCCGTCATACAATAGTTAAACATAAGGACTCTGAATAAGGCAGATAGAAGATAGTATGAGAAAATAGTATGGCCAACGGTGCTTTGAGCAGTTTCGTTTTATAGTCCGATGGTTAACGCGAGCGAACATCCGTTCTTATAACTGTTTCGAGAACATCGGCGGAACGCTATCGGTCGTTTAACTCCACTGGAACAATTAAAGCATCATATTTTCGTATGTTTTTGTTATCAACGCAAATAAAACAATTAATAAACCGATGTTTATCGGGAACATGCTCATAAATACCCATTTCGTGGTCCTGTGTTTATGTTATTTGCGAGTTGACGTTTGCAAAGTTAAAACCTTTGGCATAATAAATAAAAATGTAATGCTTTAATTGGAACAGCGAGAGAGTTTGCTCCGCAGATGATAATTTCAAATTTAATCAACGGACTTCAAAAAGAGGGAGGGTCTGTTTTTTTTATGTATGTTCAGCGACAACTTCGTCAATTGCGGACTGATTTGGAAAGTTCAGTTCAGTTTGACAAAGTAAACTCTGGTAGTGCTCCTACATAGTTACCAAATCAGGGTCTGATAATAGAATCCCAGAAGAATCAAAAGATACCCCCAAATATTATAAGCACGTATAGTATATATTTTTTTTCTTTTTATTATTTGGTTCCTGGATGGCCGCAGCTACGCTCGGCGCCTTTTGAGTTTGTTGTGGAAATATGATAATTTTCCACGGGTACAGTTGCTTATTTAATTTTCATCGAAAATTATATGAATACAAAATGTATATACGTACCAAACAAATAAAAATACAACATAACATTTTATTTATATGTATAGTACCCTCTGTAGTCTATATCATTTAGGACCATTTTTTATTGCAAACCAATGACATAGCAACAAGGTAATTACTTCAAAATTCCAGATAAGTGCTAGATACAGTAGCGTTTAGGATTTTTTTCTTCAATTCCTTTCATAGAAATCACATAAATTTGTAAAGCAAATATTTGTCTATATAAACATTTTGTACATAAGAGTTGCTAGTTTAAAAATGTAAGATTCAAATATTTGCGTTCGGAGGTCCTCATCTGATGCTGTTGAGCTGATAGTGAAAGCAATGTCACTCCTTATAATCGAACTTTAAGATCCATTTTCGGAACTAACTCCGAAAGCAACTAATTATATAAATATGTTTTTGAAGACGGTTTTTATTTTATTCCTGTAAAAATATTCCAAGTATCATAAAGTGTTAGGGTTTACAATACTTTGTAGATAGATAAAAGTGGAGAACAATACTCTACGAAACGGAATTTTGTTTTTATGAAATATGAAGAGGATACGAAAGAAAGTCACCGAATTTTCATTTTTTAAAATCAATTAAAAGTTTTGTTAAAAAATTGGCCAACTTCGAGTCGAACTCATGCTCTGAAATGCGCTAATTTTTTTTTTATAAAATTAGATAGCTTATTGTTTTCAGTCTAATTTTCGAAAATTGAGATTTAATTATATGTCGTTTTGAGATTCTAGTAAGCTTGTCTGATCTTTTTCAGAGAAGCCGCAAAGTTACAACTTTACAAGGAAACATTGCAACAAAACGTTACAACAAAACGTAAGCTTA